CTGACTCCCAGCTCCTGCTCAGTGGAGACCCAGGGGCTCTGGACACCACATTCATGGACCAGCCACAGCCGGCTCTCATCTCCCTGTAGTATCCAGCGCACGTGTCCTAGGATTCCATTCAAGACGGGTCAGACGAGCAGTGGGGAATGGAGGCTGGCAGGAGAGTGGCGCAGAAGGCGGGCCTGGCCGCAGCCCTCACGCTAGGCCGGCTCCGGGTCATGGGGCCCCCGGTCCCTGAGGGAACAGGCTGCTCCTCACGCCAGGGGTGCTGAGGCAGCCAGCGGACTCCTATCAGGAGAGCCGTGTCCCCGACTCACTGCCAGTGGGAAAGGACTGTTCTCAACGCCCTCGGGAAGAGGCGGGGGAGACGCTGCTCTGGGTGGGCCAGTTTTTACTGTTTTTCAAACATACTTTTTTTCACTCTTTTAGTGTCTTTTTAAGAAGACAAGGAACAGGACACCTGTCCTAAGGAAGATGATGGGATGATGGGCCCCGACACTAACGCAACATGAAAGCGGCTGTCTAAGCCTGTCCTGGGGCCTGTTAGAACCCCGCCTTCTTTCTGTCCCCAGAGCTCAATGTGCCAGCCGGCTGCTTCGCCTCCTTCCGCTCCCTTTCAGTTGGCAAATATTTTTGAATCTACTGTGTGTTTCTCACCGAGCAAACGATTGAAGGAAAAAACAGAAAGATACAGTACCTTCCCTAACATCGGCCTTGGTTGGAGATGTGAGCCTCAGGGTGGCCTAGTCGGGTGGCCAACAGTGAATTCAAGATTTATCAGAGCGGGCAGGGGACAGGGTCAGCCCTGCCGGCCCCCTGAGGAGGAGGCAGCCAGAGCCCCCACCAGGAAGGCAGGACAGCAGGCCGGGTTCAGAGCACAGTCTGGGGTCTCTGATCTTCACTTCCCACCTAAGCCTCCATTTGTGCATCGCTACACTGATGAAGGAAGGATGGAGGGGCCCCCTTCGTGTTTTTCACAGCACTTTGCAGCGTCAGGTCCTCAGGCACAGTGGCCTGTGTTCCCCTCTTCCAGAAAGGCCACTGAGCCAGACAGAGCCTGGAGCCCACTCCCTTTCATTCAATCTACCAGTCACCAGCTGGACCACATGGCTGACCAGAAAATAAGAGAACGTCCACTTCTAGACTTCTCCCTCCCAAATTTCCCCAGGGCCTTTCACCAAACCCAGTTGAAATGGAAACCCAAACTGAAATTTAAACCCAAACCAACCATCTGACATGACTGAAGCCCAGACGGAACTCGGATATTTTGGAGATTAAACTATGAATGAAACGAAGAGCCCTTTAAAGAACAAGCAGTCCTCGTGAGCCACTTAGAATCAGGAGGCAACCAGTAAACACTTTCAAACACCAAAACCGAGCAGCCGAACCACCTGCAGCTCTCCTGTCCAAGCCTGTGGCTCACGAGGTGGCATTACCTTGATGGACAGAGAGCCCGTCTCCCGGTTCAGGGACAGGTCAGCCGAGAGGGAAGAGCTGTAGTCCATGCTCTCGGAGGTGGAGAGGCTGCCACAGTCCGAGTCCCTCTTGGAAGGGCGTGGGGACGCCGGCGCGGGGAGCTCCAGGCTGCCGTTGGCCAGCTTCTCATCGCCCAGGATCTCCAGGGCGCTGCTGTTGGGACGGCTCTGGCTTGTCTTTTGGGACCGGATGGCTACTGGACTGATGTCCCCATCCTGGTCAGCGGCTTGCTTCTTCTCGGATACCTGAATTCTGGGGCCCATTGACACGGGTCGGGCCTTCCTGAGGGGCGCAGGCACTGCTAGGCCATTTTTATTTTCAGGGGCCACATCTGGGGGGCTGGTGGTTTGGAGGCATCTGTTTCCAGAGGGCTCGCTGGGCCCATTCACACTGTCCTGAGGCTGGCCGGGCGGCGGTGGGGTGACAGACGATTCCTTGGGAAGCTTGTCAGCATCGAGGCTCCCCTGACTCACCTCAGCAGAGTCGGGAGTGTGGTTCCCCAGAGGCTAGAGAGGGGGGAAAAGTAGTCAGGGCCATGCTGTGGTATGTCTGAGGCAAGAGTCAGAGAGACAGTGCGGTGGGGAAGTCACACACCGCAAGGCCAAGTGCACCAGTGCCAGGGAAGCCGAGAAGGCAGCACTCTCCAGGAAGCCTGTTTGTTAGCGCTATGGGGGGCTGCGAAGTACTGGGAATGTGGCTATTATGAAACAGAACACCCGCGTCTCTGGATAAAACATCAATGTCCAGCTTCATGAGTAAAGCGGGCAATCACATGGCCACTTTCCAGGGCAGCAGTGGGACACTGACCCCGCCCCACAGACCCTCACTCGCGTCCATCCTTCCCAGTGACAAAATCATTATCCTGACTTAGATCTTTAAGTGCTATCGGTTGCTTTGCCTGCTTTTAAACTTGATATTAATGGACTCACACTGTAAGCATTTCCTTGGATGGCCCTGATGGCCACTGGGTTTTGACCTTGGATATGGAAACTTCCAGAAGCAACTCAAATCCACCTTCTATTCAACACCCAGAGTCCTGTCATCTGCACACCAAGGCCCAGCCCCTGCCTCACAAGGTCCATGGCACCATCTGGACAGCAAATGTCCCCTCCTGGGAGACGCTGGTCTAGAATGCAGGACACAGGCTGCAAGCCGCCAGACCAGCGATCCGCCAGCGCCAGCTCAGGATGGGATCCAGCCCACAGGCATGTTTGGCTTGGCTCAAATGGTTTTAAATTTTTTTAATTAGTTTTTATTTAAATTTAAATTCAGCCAAGTGCTGGAGAAGCAGCTGGGTTACAAATGTGCCAGGGTCCCCTGGGCACTCAGAGCAGCCGGGCGGAGGGGTCTGGGGTGGCTGGACCCCTTGGCCTGTTGCCTCTGGTCACATGCAGCCTTATCTGCATGGACGCCACAGCACACTAAAAACACGCTCGTTGTGTGTGTGAGCCCAATGGGGAAAAGGCTGGGAGGCAAGTGTCAGCTACCAACTTTTAAAACTGGAAGGTCTCATGTGAAATCGAGATTTCCTGAACACTTACTGGATCCGTGTGGCCTCTCCCTGGTCCACCTGCCCTGCGGCGTGGGAACCGTGACCTCTAAGCTGCGGAGATACGGAAAGGGCTCCTTCCTGCGCCTCCCGGGCCGCACCCACAGCGGCCGAGCCTGCGGGGGTCCCCTCCCGACCCAGCACCTGCTCTTCGGGGCCTTACAGAGGTGGCTTCCACGGGGTCCTCCTCTTCCGCCTCATCCCGGCCATCTTCAATCTCCTCCATCACCTCGGCCTTGGCCTCGGCCACCAGCTCCCGCAGAGCTTTGTTATTGGTGATGCTGCTGACGAAAGGATGCTGAGGGGAAAAAAGACACCTGGGTGAGAACCACTCTGGGCTGGGGGCGGGGGTGAGGAGGGCAGGCGAAGGCTGGGGAAACATGAACTTGGGAAGGGACACCCAGCGGCAGATCAGAAAGTCCTGTGTGTGATAAAAGAGGGCAAATGCCGGCCCTGCCAGTCACCAGCTGTGTGACACTGAGCACGTCACTTCCTCTCTCTGAGATGCAGGCACCTCATCTCTGAAGAGATAATGATGCCAAAGCCACAGGGAGGGCATGACGAGATAATGCACATGGAAATGCTTAGCCCAAAGCCAGAGCCGAAGTGATGTTTGGGGCTGTTTTTTTGTGTATTTGTTTCTCTTTTTTAAAAGGTTTTAATATATGGTCCTTAAAAATATACTATACGCACATACACACACAAGTACGTTACTGAACTATTACAGTAAAGTCCACAAATATTAAGCTCAGTGACTTTTCCTGTTTTCCTCATATACATACACCAGTGTAGCCACGCAGCTCACGGCGGAAGGTCTCCATCACCCGGGAAAGGTCCCTGTGCCCCGAGTCAAGCCCGCGCCCCCGCGCTGCCTGGCTCTGACTAGTCTTTCCTGCCCTTGAACTTCGTATGAACAGCATCACAGTGTCTTTACGGCTGGCCTGCTTCGCACAACCTGGGCTGAAGCTGAGTCACCTCTACTGTCGTGTGTATCAGTCAAGTGTGCCTTTTTCACTCCTGTGCCGCCCTCTATTGCATGAATATGCCAGTTTGTTCACTCACTTGCCGCCGGGGACACGGGTGTCATTTCCTGGTTTGGGCGACTACGGATAAAGCTGCTATAAACACGCTTGTGTGTCTGGGTGGACGTGTGTTTGCAGAAGCGTGAGGCCGGGTGGAGAATGTTCCCTCCCGAGGCGGGTACAGAAACCCCACAGCTCTTTCACAGACCTTGTGAAACACCAAAGCTCTTAAGGCCCCAGCAGATGTGAAATCGGCATGAACACCTCCCTGGGGAGCTGCCGCTGGGAATCTTCTCCCAGCACCAGGACGTGGCAGTCCAACTCACCGCCCACCCGCCACCGTGCAGAAGGAATGCTGGGGGCGGGGCTGTCCGTACGTTGGAATTTGCTTATTTGAAATTTACGGGAAGGCTGCCCTGACATTCACTGTTCTTGCTGTCAGAAAATTCATCAGCGGAGGAACCGCCTCAAGATTGCAGGGAAGTACGCAAAGGACTCAAGAAAATCAATTTGCTGGCACCTTGAAAACACATCCACAACGGAGAGGTCCACGAAAATCAGTTTTTGAAATCTGTTTGTTCATTTAAAACAGTTCACTGGGGGCGGCCATGAGGAAACACCCTGTGCAGCTTGGGCACCTTGTTTTGCACACCTGACAGCAGGAAACCTCGCTCCCTTTAAAGAGCCCTGTCACTCAGTTTTCCCCAAGTCAGTCTGACCATCTCTAGGTCATCCAAACTAGCAGAGATTGGAAGAATTTCATTTCACTTCTTCCCCATGCCCCCCTTTATTCACTGATTCACACCATATCCAAGTGGTAAGGCCAGCAACGTACCAGGTGCTGAAATAAGGCTGAGCAAGAAGACAGACAAGGTCTCTGGCCCTTGGGGGCTTGCAGCTGAGCGGGAGACGACAGGTATGTAACCAAAGGACAAACACGATCATTTCAGATCAGGGAACAGGATAGCATCAGGCTGGAACAACCTGCCCTGGACAGTGGAGGCTACTCAGGTCCGTGGTCTGAGGGGCCTCCCTAAAGAGGTGGCATTTGAGCTGAGACCTGAGGGATGTGAAGGGCCAGCCAGGGAAAGATCTGGGCACAGAGAATTCCAGACAGAGGGAGCAGCAGGTGCAAAGGTCCTGAGACAGGACTGAGCTTGGTGTGCTGGAGGCACTAGGCTGGAGCCCCAGAAATTGTGGGAGATGAGAAGGGAGGTGCACGCAGGGCGCCCCCAGGCCTTGGTGAGAAGCTGAGACTTAATTCTCAGAAGCCACCGCCAGACCGCAGCAGGGTGGTGATAGTAACAGTTACCACTTAAAGGTGTCACTCTGGCTGCTGTGTGGTTCCAACGGTCTCGAGTGGGACCATTAATGAGGGTTACTAATCGTAGAACGCAGGGAGTGTAGCCGTACAGCCTGATCGGAGCCAGGCTGCCTGGGATAAAATCCTGCTTGTACCACCAGCTTGGGCAAGTCACCTCTCTGAGCCTCAGCGTGTTTCTCTGTATACTAGGAATAACAGTATGGTTGTTCTAAGCAGTGAAGTAAATGCTTAAAATATGACAGGAGAACCTGCCATCTGATCACTCAGGTAGAGGAACAGCTGCTCCGTGCCATCTCTGTGGGGTGCCCCGAGATGCCACACAGCTCACCAGCTGGCACCCGCCCTCGGGCCAGGACCTCTCCGGCCATCTATCTACACAGGCACCCCGTCAAGCACTCGAGCCTGTTTTCCTCTGGGTCCTTAGAAACCATCAGCCGGGGAGTCCCACACGCCAACACCAGCTTTAGAAAATGCCTAATAATGTTCAAATTTTTAGGTGTCAGCATTTTCCCTTCAATCCTCCCTTCTAACCTCTTCTCTCTCTCTCCCTCTTTCATTTCTTCTTCACTCATTTGGAGGCAGTTTACCATCGTGGTCAAGAGAACAGGCTTTGGAACCAGACGACCAGGATCAGAATCCCAGCTCTGTCGCTTACAAGCTGTGTGACCTTGTGCGGGCTACCTAACCTCTCTGTGCCTCCGTCTTATAGCTGACAGAGATCTGAATAGCACCTACTTCACAGAGCTGTTATGATGATTAAACCAGTTAACATTTGTTCAACATTTAGAACAGCACCTGGCACAGGTACAGGATCACATGGTCACACAACAGTGTGTTAAGTAAAAGGAAGTCAGCGTATTTAACAAATACTTGTTGAAGGCCTTCTCCATACCAGGCATGGCTCTGGATGCTTGGGTCACATCAATAAACTAAACGGACACTTCTGTCCTCAGGGAGCTGACATGCTAGTCGGGAAGATCAACAGTACACTTAACAAACAAGTAAGTTACACACCACCAAGCTGTGTGCCATGGAAAAATTACAAGTAGCGTAGGGAAAGGAGAGTTAGGGATGTGGGGGGAGCAGCAGGTTGGCAGTGTTAAATAGGGTGGACTGAAGAACAGAGTCAACCAGGAGGGTGTCTAGGGAAGAGCATTCCAGGCAGCGTGCAGAGCTGGTGCAAAGGCCCTGAGGCAGGGGGTGCCGGTGTGTCTGAGGAACAGCAAGAAGGCCAGAGTGTCTGGTGAAGCGTGAGGAGTTAAGGCGGGGTGGACAGGTCACACAGGGCCTTGCAGGTCACTGAGATTCTAGAGTTTACCCTGAGTGGGATGGGAGCCACTCAGGGGCTTTGGACCCAGGAGGGACAGGTGCTGGCTTCTGAGTGAAAGGTTCCCTCTGGCTGCTCTGCTCAGAACAGACTGAAGTAGGGCAGGGAGCCCAGTGAAGAGGCAATAATCCAAGTGAGAGATGAGGGTGGCTCAGACGAGTGGTTGCAATGGGGGTGGTGAGAAGAGGTCAGATTCTAGCACGTTCTAAAGGCAGAGACAATAGGACTTCTCCATAGAATGGATAGGGAGTGTGAGAAAGAGAGGGCTCAAGGATGCCTGCAAGGTTTAGGGCCTGACCGCTGGAAGGGCGGGGTCGCCATCACTGGAGCGTCTTCGGGGAAAGACGGTGAGTGGTGAACGCGTTACATTTGAGGTGCCAAGTGGACTTCCAAGAGGGATGGAGAGTAAACGGCTGGGTACGAGGGTGGAGGGCAGGGAGAGCCGTCTGTGAGAATCATGACAAGCAGAATGAGAGCATCCAGGTGGGCGGAGACGGCAGACACGGGCCTGGCACGCTTCCCCATGCGTTCTGCAGAACGAGGGGCTGAGAAGAGCAGCGCAGTGAGAAGGAAGGAAGCCGAGGGATGTGGGGACCCCAAGTCAAGTGCTGACAGCGGGGAGCACAAGGGTTGACTGTGGCTGCCGCTGGGCCCAGCAACACGAGCACTGACACCTGTGCTCACCACGACATCCAGCAACACAGAAGGCACTGGCGGCCCTGACCAGGATGCTGTGACAGAGTGAGGTGGGTTTAAGGTCAAGTTCAACAGGTGTAGACTGAGCCATTATGCTAAAAATGGTGCCTACGGAATCTCACTCGCTCGCACAGTGCTGGGAAGTGAGCCCAATCCACAGCCTACAGATGAGGAAACCGAGGCACAAAGTAAGAACTGAGGTTCCAGGCAGGCGAGCCTGAGGTCAGAGCCGGGTTACCACTGTGTGTGATACAGTCCCAAAGAATATCTGCGCAAGTCAATGAAGGAACCTTAAACCAAAAGGGGCATAAGTCAGTCAGCTTGAGGCAGAACTCAGGGAAAGACGAGGAGCTGGGAGGAAGCTTCTAGAAGCAGACAGATACAAGGGCCGAGGTGGGGGCATGACCAGCTCTGGAAGGGGCTTGGAGCTACCTCGGCCTCCCCAAGCCAGGCGACCTTGGGGAGACTGCTCTCAGCCTCGGGTCCTCACCTAAGGGGGTAACACGCTCTATCCGCTTCCCCTGGAGATGCAAAGGCACCTGGGAAAAGATGGCTGCAGCCTAAGCTCTGAAAAGCGCTTCATTTCTCTCAAAGGCTCTCTCCTTTCTTCTGCGACCCTTCCTGTCTCCCACTGAGAATCCTCTGGCAAGACATTTTTTCCAACTATGGAACGGAAATTCCTGGCTCAGGCCAGGGCTCCGGAGCTGCCATGTGGGGACGGGGGACAGCTGTCTCCTCCTGGTGGAATGTCCTGGAGGCCGGACATATCGGGCCGGGAGGTGCCTGCTTACAGGAAACAATTGGCCCCAAGCGGCTTGGAGCTTCTGTGTCTGACAGTGACAGCCGCCTGCCCCACCCCCACCTCTTGCTGGCCAAGTCCAGCCCCTTCCGGACACTGCCCCACCAAACACCATAATACCCAGAAAATGAGGCCTCTGGCCCTCCAGGCATTTGCTTCCAAATACACTGCAGAAACCTACAAGGAACAATAGACCCCTAGCAGCCAGACCCCATTTTGCATCCTGGTTTTGTTCCATTTTTTAATAATTCCATTCAACGCATCAAACATTCACTGAGCACAATGCTTAACAGTAAGCTAAGCACTTTAGAGCATCTTCGCACTTAATCGTCACAACGACCCTATAAGGGAGACGCTGCTCTAATCCCCATTTCAGTGAGGACTGAGTCACAGAGCGGTTAAGCCACTCGCCCAGAGTCTCTCAGCCAGTAAATGGCAGAGCTGGGATTTGAACCCAGGCCTTTCCAACCTGTCCACACAATCACTGTGCCACACATGCCAGAGGGACACGAAGAAAGACTGTGCTTGGTGTGGCCTCTTCCTCCTGTCCTCCCACTGGAGGCTGTCACACAGGCGGAAGGACCGGAGTGGACAGGGCGTGGAGAGGCAGCCCCTGCCCATCACCCAGGCCCGCTTCCTCCCCCAGTAGCATTGGTGGCATCGGGACAGTGATCAGCAGACCTGGGTACAGCTGGGTGGGTGATGTGAGCCACTTTCATAACACAAGGCATCAGCCCAGGTGATGGGCAGCTCACAGCAACCTCCACGATCTCAGAAAGCTTCAGGGAGACCATCATCCATGTCCCCACCCGAAGATGCACAGCCAGCTAAGGAGATGCTCACTGTGTCATCAGACTGGTGTCCAGACTACACACACAGCAGCCAAAGGGACCCATGCAAATGGCAGTCAGATGGTGTCCCTGCTCCACATCCTCAGGGTAAAACCCAAGTCCTGGTTGGAGCTTGTGAGGCCTATGCGACCTGGCCCTGTGCGACCTGGCCCTGCAGCAGAAGTGAGCACAGCGGGCCTGTCCACTCTCCTGTGAGAGGCCTGCTTCCAAGATAGCCCTCAGGTGGCCTCTGGGAACTTGGATTTGGGGCAGGCTCCCACCACAGACTGATAAGAGGGACCCACTCTGCCTAAACTATTTGTATAAACAGTATGGTTCACGCTGAAAGCCAGCTGGCTTCTAGAGTCTGGCATTTTGTTACATGCCAGGCAAAGGGTGCCTACAAGTGTGACCAGCCCCCAGCAAAAACCCCGGGCCCCGAGCTCACTAGCTCCCCTGGTGGACGCCACAACTCATTGCTGAGGGAACTAAGCGCGTCCCGTGGGACTCTTAACAAAAGTTTCTCCTGGTTCATCCCACGTGCCTTTTTCTCTGTATTGTTTTGCTACAAGAAGTCATAATGCTGAATACAACATATGCCAAGTCCTGTGTGCCCTCTTAGTGAACCATCAGATCTGGGGGCGGACACACTCCTCTCCGATCTCATCTCCAGCCCCCACGCCCTGGCCGCCTAGCTCTTCCAGGCTCGTACCACGCATGCTCACATCGCGTTCTGGCGGGGCTCGTTTGCCGCCTCCGGGTGTCCGCTCACACAGAGAGCCCCTCTGTGTCTTACCTTCCGAGGCCCGCCACCCACCCGCGCCGTTTCCTCCGAAGCCCTGGTCTCCCCCTGCCATGCGCACACCTGCCCCGTCTCCCCCACTCCATCAGCTCCGTGAGGACCGGGCCCTGGGAGGCTTCCTCCACTGCAGCGCTCCCAGCACGACAGCTGTCAGGTAGGAGGCGCCCAGGGGATGCGGGCTGATGAACGAACGGACCTGGGCTGGATGAGGACCACATCAGCTTCCAGGGCATGGCTGATCTCATCTGTCACCTGTCTCCAAAGAGAGGGCAGGGCAGAGGGGCCGGCAGCCAGCCCCGAAAGAGGGGACCCACTCACCTCCAGGAGCTGCGCGGCACTGGGCCGGGTCTCGGGGTTCTTATCCAGGGCTGTCTTCAGGAAGTCTCGGAACTCCACAGACCTGAGAGGACAGGTGGCGGCAGTAAGTTCGGAGCAGGGCGCGGGCCGAGAAAACGCCCCACGTCACAGGCTCCACTCTCCCAGGAGTCCTGTGTTTCCCAGACACGCCCATCAAAGGACAAAGGACGCCTTCATGAGCTAAAAGGCGGAGGCGGCGGGGCCTTCGAGATGACCTTCTCATCACGGACATCACTATACAGACGGGAACATGGAGTAAGAGGAGCAGGGCCGTGCCTGAGGCCACAGAGCAAAACAGCAGCACTGGGGTTCAAGCCCGAGCCCCCGCTCCCAGCCCAGGGCTGCGCCACGTGGCTGCTGAGCCTGGCATGGGCTCCTGTTCCCACAGTGGCACCTGCTTTCTTTGGGTCACCAGTCCGCTTTGATGAGGCGCCTGCGTGGAGCGCAGAGGGAAGAAAGAGGCGCGGAGGGCCCAGGGAGCTCAGAAAGGACCGGGAAGCCCAGGCCGCGGCGGCTCCCCCACTTCGGGGCCTAGCAGCGACGGGAGAGCCCTGGCACGCCGCCTCCCCCAATCCTGCCGGCTCACACCCCGTCCAGCAACACCCTCGGCTCCTTACCACTTAGAAGGTGTGAGCAGCGTGGGAGGGTCCGACTTGGCGATTTTGAGCAGGACCCGCATGGGGTTGAGCTCGTGGTGTGGGGGCTCGATCTCGGCCATCTCAATCAGAGTGATGCCCAGGGACCAGATGTCGGCTTTGTAGTCGTACGGGGTGTCCTTCATGGTCTCACACATCACCACCTCGGGGGCCATCCTGAACCAACCAAGGGACAACAGAGGGCTAAGAAGCTGGCCTCCACAGGCACTTCTCAGCAACTCAGGTCAAGGACCAGCACAAGCCAATATCAGCGGGGCGGGCAGCGCTCCTGAAGCACGATTTGCATTACTGTCCATCCCACTGTCTTCCTCACGATGGTCCGTCCTCGCCCAGAAAGACACCGTCCAAGCGGCTCCATCACGTCCCGCTGCAGTTCCTGATGCCTACCACAAGATGGCAGCAACAATCCAGACATAGAGTCCTGGGGGGCGGGGGAGGTGGGGGGGTGGGAGCAGAGAGGAAGGTGCCCAGAAAAAACTGGGGTGGGAGGGGTGGTGGAGAGAATACAACAGCAGGGAGAGAACAAAATAAAGAGGAATAAAAGGGCAGAGAGAGAGAAAGAAAGGGTGAGTAATAAGCAAGCGAGGAGGAGGCTAACTCCACAATGGGAAGTAATGCACATGAAAAACAGAAGGTAAAGTTAGGTGTGAAACTGAGGGAGAGAGTGGTTTTGGGATTTTTTTTTTTAATTAATAGTTTTAGAAGAGAAGGAAACACAATGGACTAGAGAAGTCCAGGGAGATTTCACGCAAGGGTAGGAACTGAACTTATCTTCACACGCAGCCCAGCCCTCAATCCATACTTGTTGAACGTATCAAGCATTGAACCGTTTTTCAGGAATTCCAGTTAAAGTATTATTAATGGAGCGTTTTCTGTGTGTATCACCCCATTTAGTCCTCACAGTCACCCATGAAGTGGATGCTATTAATCCCTGATTTTACAGGTCAGCAAACTGTGGCACGGGAACACTAAGCACCTTGGCCAAGGTCACAGCACAGTAAGTGGTGGAGACGGGGCTCAGACCCAGCAGGCTGACTCGGGCCCTTGCCCCACCCCCACCCCATCCATCCTCTCTCCACTGTACCAGCCAGCAGTCACCTTGGGGAGTTGGAGGTTTACCATTCCGTCCACCATTCCATTTCCAGAAGCTACATGACTCACCAATAAGGCGTCCCGATGAAGGAATCTCGTTTCTGCAGAGTTTTCAGATTCTTGGCAGACACTCCAAAGTCAGCTGCAAGACAAAAATCTCAGATGGAGGATTCGACAGACATTCCTTCCCCCACGGCCCTGGGCGTGGACTCAGAGATATGTGCCCTCAATAAACCAACAGATGCCATCTTCTAGGTCACAAGTGAGTGATCATTGAAACTCCATCTACTGCTGTCAGGGTGTATGGAGACCCACACTTTCCTACTTGCTAATGAAAGCATAAACCCAAGAGCATTTGTGGAAAGCAGTTTCGCAAGAACCTTTAAAGTATCCATACCCTTCTGATCCAGAAATCGCAAATCCAGGGACCTATCCCCTACTGCAACAATCTTAAATATGAACAAAAAGGAAGCATGATGATGTTCATCAAAGTGCCAGTGTAACAGTGACACATTAAAAACAACCACAACCTCTTAGCTTTCGGGGAGCGACTGGAATGAGCAATGATCGCATCCCGGGTATACCTCATTCATTGGCTACAACATTGCCACTGAGCAAAGCCTAGGAAGTGACTTTTAAACGTTTTATATACAATATATAATACGTCCTGTCTTTTTCAAATGGATTTAAGATGGTGTAGCCAACACACACACACACACACACACACACACACAGAGTAAGATAAACCAAGGCATGAGGAGAGGTAAGAAAGATAAGGTAAAGGGTAAACAACTGAACACGTTACAAAAAGTGTGATATACCCCCTACGATAGAATATGTTGTAGTCATTAAAGTTAATTTTGAGGTACTTTTATCCAATATTTTAACACGGAATTAAACATAGTACTACATAACAATAGTAAAACATTTACTGTGTATTTAATATTAATGTTTACATGTACTTAAATACTTTACTATTTAACAATATTAAAACGTTTTATTTATATACTTATACGGTCAAGTGGGGAAAGGGGAGATGCACAGCTGAATATATCCTATGGTCAGAAGTATGCCCCCCTCCCCCAACAAAGGGCAGAATTACACAATGAACTGACTTGGAGGCAATAACCAAACTGTTTAAATGGTGGTCTGACGGCGGTGAGACTAGATGAGGCTTCGTCTACTGTCCTGAATTCTGTAAATTTGCTATGACGAACATGTATGACTTTCAGGAATAACAAAAAATAAATAAATACAATTTATCTTTGAACTCACACCAAACACCACCCATGTCCCTTCACACACCCACTGCGCAGAGAACCCAGGGCCACCAAGAGGAATTTTCTCCACGGCTCTGCTCTTCTGGGACCAAGTTTCATCTTGATTGAAAAATAAACTCAGGAAAGCGACACCTTGATAGAGCTGGTGACGTTCCCTTTGAAGCCTTGCCACAGGAAACAGCCCGGTGTTCTAACTGCCGGGCCAGGCTGCTCCAGAGCCACTGCCCGGGTCTTGAAATGAGCTGGCCCCAAACCACCACCAGGTGAGTCTGTATTCACACGCTCACGATTTCAAAGCAGGAGGGAGCATTGTGCTAAGAGCATGGGCCTGAATCTGGGAAAACTGGGTTCCAGTCTTGGCCCCCGTATTCCACTGGTTCACTCCTCTCTCATCCAGGTGCCATCAGGAGCCAGACACCAGCCAGGGGTAGAGAATACAGTGGGGGCCAAAGCAAACTAAGTCCTTGTCCTCAGGCAGCTCAAAGTTTAGTGGCGGGAGCAGAAGGCAATCAGATAAACACCAGGAGGTAGCTATTCATACCTGCAAAGTGATGGTCAGATGGGCATATGGGGCTAGGAGAGCCTCCCGTGGAGGGAGGGAGGGAGGGAGGGAGGGAAGGCCTGCAAGAAGAACAGCTGAGTGCCTGGGAACTACTCAGTCCTTCAACAAATATTAACTGAGCAGCTATTATGTGCCAGGCACTATTCTAGATGCATAAAGGAACCAAAATCCTCATCCTTGTTTGGCTTAGTCTTCTAGTGATAGAAACTGGCCCTCAACAAACACCATGCGGTTCCTGGTAAGGAGAAAGGCCATGTAAGGGGAAGGCAGGGAAAGGGGTGGAGAGTGCTTGTGGGGTAGGGGGAGAAGCTGCTTTAGAGAGGAGGTCGAGACCTGGGGGAAGAAGATATTTCTGGGCAACATGCTGGCTAGAGGACCTGGGAGGGGGATGGAAGCAGGTAAGGCAGGAGACACGAAGGGGCCAGGGCAGCTTCCCCGCCTCACGTGGGGATGGTGACACTGAGAACCTCTCTGTAGGGCTACTGTGAGGATTAAATGACACATGGAAAGCACTCAGCTCCAAGCCTGGCGCTTGCTAAATGCTCTGGCACAGGCGAGCCAGCAGCCTGAGATTCTTAGGCTGAGCCAGGCTGGGGCTGCACTGATGCCCGCTCCAGGGACTGTCAGGAAAGCTGGTCACTGAGGCCTGGGTGCTAACTAGCCAGCAGTTACTCGGTCAGCTGATGACAGCCCTCACAGGGACAGTCAGGCTGTGAGAGGGAACAGGGCCCTGTCACCTCCCAGGGAGGGAGTGCAACTACTAAAATGCAAACCCAGGTGAGAACCCAGCTCTCCTGCTCACTGCCCTGGTGGCCTGGCAAGTCACCCCCACTCTGGGCCCCTGGGTAAGAATGGAGGAAGAGCTGGGATCGCCGCCTGCCTACTGGGTCCGTGGAGGGTAGAGGGGGCACCTTCCCTGCAAACACCAACAATGGCTGGCACACCATCCCAGGAAATCTTTCAGGTCTGTGACTGCCTCTCAGACTCAGTATGAGGCTCCGGGGAGGGGGGTGCTGCCACTCCTCCAGTCGGCCTGGGTGGCTCCTTCCTGAGAAGGGACAGGAAAAGCAGAAACCACCAACTTTCACAATGACACCCAGTTGGTCCCCAAGACCCTCCCTGAGGCAAGCGCTGGCCAGCTTTCTGGGTAACTGCTACTTCCCCCTCTACCTCACAAGATGGGGCCTGGCAGGAGGGTGGGGGAGCCCTTCCCTGCAGCCCAGGGACCTCAGGTTTTCCCTGGGCATAGGGCACGGTGGCCCTGCAGTTTGCTCCCTGAATGGAGTTTATGAGCGGTGTTCCCTGATAGGTGGCTGTCTGCTCTCATACAATTCAAGTGGGGGGGGGGGCGTTCCACCAGGCAGTCTCTGGTGATGGAAGCACTGTTCCCTCTCCTCCACCCACTAGAAAGCCAGTCACAGACAACAGCAGGCAGGTAGGGGCTCTCCCTCGATAGGCTGTCATGTCCATAAGGAAGAGGCCGTTTCTGCATTGTCCACAGCTGTACCCCTGGCACCGTATGGGGCACATGATGCCCTCAACAGGGCGATCAAATGAACAAGTGAGCAAGTGAACGGACAGACAGAGTTAGAATACCTTTACTCCTGGTCCTTAGGGAAAAATGGTAACACTGGGTTTTAAGAAACATGTTGACAGTAGTTCTATTTCTAGAACTAGACCCCCGAAACCAGATTCATAATACCGGGGGTGCCACAGAAAATGTATACAAGTGGAAACTTTGGTCAAAGTTGCTCAAGCAGTAGTTCACCGTCATCAGAAGTGTCTGGACGCTGATGAGAACCACTTTGAGCACCTCTTGTCATTGCAGAAGTCAAACGTGACTCGGATTCATCTTTTGTTATCGGTATATATCAAGTATTACAATTTTAATACAGTCTTCCTTTCTTAACATGTATAAATTTTCTGGCACGCCTGTACATATGGAAGCTTATGAAAGCATTATTCAAAAGAGTGAAAAATTGGAAACAAACTAAGTTGCTGCTGGAGCTGGGGTTGGGGAATGGTCAGATAAAGTATGGTTCGCCCTGACCATGAAATAACAGGCAGCCCTGAAAAAGAATGAGGCTGCAACTGTACTCATTTGGGAGTTTGTCCATAACACCTTGTCCCAAACATGCCTCTGACTGACCCACCGTATCACAGAATGTACGGCATGATTCCAGTAGCATCTTAAAGACACATGCACATTGCGTGGGCACATAGCCACAAACACAGAAAGGGGTCTGGAGGGTTGTACATCGAACTTAATAGTGACTACCTCCCTGGAAGTGGGGTTTTGGTGGGGGCAGGGCACTGAGGGGATCTTCCATTTTTTTATTTTATACATTTTTATTCTTTAGAATGTTTTTTGACAAAGAGTACGCATCGCTTTTATGGTTTAAAAAGCTGAAATACATATGGCAAAGACTTGGGCGTTTAAAGAGTTCTGCTTTCGCTTTCTTTTCAGTAAAACCCAGTGGGGGCCAGGATATGGTGAAAGAGCTTCAAGAGGGAGTAGGGGGAGAGGTAACTGCTACAGCCACCAGGAAGGGCACATCCGCCCCAGGTATTCACACAAAGCTGGAACACTGCACAAACCCAACAATTCTACTTCTGAGAACGCCTCCTAAAGGTATTATCTCAGAAAGGGATTTAGATCCATGAGCAAGCACCCCCATCCCTGCGTTAGAGAATAATGTGAGAAACCTAAATATCCAACTTGAAGGGTTTCATAGGTAAATTATGGTTTGTGCAGGTGTTGCAATGCAAGAAAAATATTCAATAATCATGTTTTATGAGGAATATGTAAGGGTATGGGTAAAACACGCTGACATTCAATTGTTTTTAAAGTATACTACAACCCAGACTTTTTTAAAAAATAAATATTTATCTAACAAAGACTAATATTTCCTGAGACCTTGCCAGGTGTACAGCACTGTGCAGAGGGACTTACGCATCTCATTTCTATCTGCCTATGCATATCAGCTGCAGATACATTCCTATGCATCTCAGTGTCTATCTGTGATCCTTTGGGGAAGGGGAAATTATTATCCCCATTTTACAGACAAGGAAACTGAAGTTTAGAGTAATTTGTAAGATGGTCAACCAGCTCTAAAGACAGAAGTGACACCAAGTCTGCGCTCTTTACTACTATCTGTTCCCACCTTTCAGGACACAGGGGGCAAGGCCAGAGGGACGGCTGCAGTGGTGCGTTCTGGCAAGATAAGGAAGTGAATTTTATTTCCTTTTTTTGTGGGTCCACTTATTCCAAATGGTCTTCAGGGCTATCCCTATTTCTATATTCATTTATATACGCTTCTTTTCCTGATTACCAACTTATCAAACATTCAAACATTTACCGGTTAAAACGTCTCCATAATCCCGGCAGAGATAAACATTTTGGAGTTTGCTGCCTATAGCTCAGGTGTATTTATTTGTATTTTTTGTATAAATAAAAAGTATGTGAATTAAAATGATATAATTTTAATATATTTACTACTTTGAAAAAAATGAAATCAGATTAAAGCATACTCATTTGCATTTTGTTTTTTTCCCCTTCCCAGTATGTCTTTACACACTTGACCCTTGAACAGCTCGGGGGGGGCAGGTGAGCCAACACCCGCGCAGTCGAAAGTCCCCGTCTAACTTTTGACTGGGCAGTGGGCCTTTCGCATCCATGAATTCAACCAACCACAACTGAAAACAGTAGTTTTGAATAGTGTTCAATCTGCGGTTGGGAATAACTGTTTTTGATCCACAGTTAGTTGAATCTGCGGATGTGAAATCCACAGATACAAAGGGCCAACTGTATTTCTGGAAAAAAATCCTCATCTAAGTGGACCCATGAAGTTCACACCTGTGTTGTTCAAGGATCAAGTGTACATCTTTACAAGACAGCACACATTTTCTACAAGGTCATTTTCAACAAATGACAAAGATCCCACCGTATGACAGTACATAACTTATTTAATCCCCTGCTGGAGTACACTTGAATCATTTCTGATTTCTTGCTGTTATAAACACTGTTGCAACAAATATCTTTCTATATAGGTGTATATGTATATCCAATACTATTTTTACAATCAGAAAACTGCATACAGTGTAAAATGCATTGTACGTTATATACTGTATATATACACACACAAGCAGTAAACTTAGAATGTTATGAAAATGTATGAGAATCTCTCATCTGTCCACTTAACTGTAAGCAACCCAAAGAACCCAAGAGGAGCCGTTTCCCAGACAATGCCAGGCCAGCTAATGCCAAACCACTGTCCAGCTGCAGTCTGCACCCCTCTTTCTCCCCTAGAGTCTCCACCCCATGCCGGGAGAGTCTGCAGTCCAGCTTGGTCAGGATTTGCCCTCCAGTTCTAGGTCTGAGAACCTCCCAGGTGGTGCTAACCCATGGTGGTGCCATGTGCCCCAGGAAGTGTTTGCAAATGAAGGGGGTGGTCTGGCTGTCGCAATGAACAAGGCTGCTCCTGCCGTTTAGCAGGGAGAGGCAGGGACACTGGACCTCCTACAGGACGCAAACTGTCCCGTCCAAAATGCCAGCTGTGCCCCTGTGGACAAACACTAGCCAGGGCCCCCATGGTACAGACAGGGAGCGGAAGCCTAGAGAAGGCTTGGGGCCTGCTGCAGTTGGGATGGGGACAGGAAAGCGCGAAGGCTCCCGTGCCCCAGCCTGGAATCCCAGGAGCCGCCTTCCTCCAGATGGCAGCAGCCAACGGCCTGCCTGGGCTCATCAGGAGGGCGGCTTCCCCAGGGCATCCAAGGGGCTTCTCTTAATTATCGGGACCATCTGCCTTCCCAGGAGTGTCATGGAAACAGTCCAGGCAGGGAAGGGAGAAGACCCGCCTGTGACCTGAGACAAAAATGCCTCATCTTTCTAAGCCTCAGTTCCCTCACCTGTTAAATGGGGATCATACAATCTAAGCCAAATGTGAGACTGCAAGAACTGCTCTCTTTTTCCATTCCTCTCTTCTTTTCTTTTGTTTTTTAGGCAACTAGATATGCATGACCACTAATGAAGACTTTGTTTTCCCATTAACTCCCCTCCATTTTCGGCATCCTACCACCGTTGCCGTCATCGACTCTCTTCTCCCCACATAACCCTGTCTTTTTCTGATATTTTCTCCCTAACCCCCAAACACAAATTCAGTCTTTTCTTGCTTCCCACCCCTCAATACTTGAGCCTCACTCACTCCCTTTCTTCTGGGTCTCTGTTATTCAAATAGGCTCTGCCATTTCCAACAGGCTGTGCCAGTCTACAGTGGACAAGTTTGTTTTACCAGCCAGTCCAAACCCTCTATTCTTGGAGACAATCTCCCCCACCCCAACCACCACCCTGTTCCATAAGGGGGAGGAGGGCTTCCTATTGCTACATGAGCCCACCCTCATTCTCAGAGACTGACCACAAGCTGTTCCTATCAAAGAAGCCCTCCTTACTGGACCTTGTTGATTGGTCCAGGGATCTGCAGTTGAGCCAAGATGGACCAATCAGAGCCCTTCACTGGGACTATGCACTCAGATCTGAAATGGTGAGGCTCAGTTCATCCTGCAGGAGGTGATGCTGGGAAAAGTAATTAGACCTTGGCAGCAGCTTTGTGGAGGGGGTTGGTCTGAGAGCCTAAGCAACACGCATAGAAAGGCAGAGACCCAAGAGTCTCGGCAGCATTTGCGTTCCAGGGTCCAACTCACCTCGATGCCCAACTAGCTGTACCTCTTCCCCCACTCGGTTCCATACGCCATATACACACATTCTCCTGTCTGCCTTTGTCACAGGAGATGGTTTTTATCATTTGCCTCTAAAAAGGAGGGTAGTGGCTAAGCACGTGCTCTGAAGCCAGATACGTTAGTCTGAACCCCAGTCGTTCTTACTGGCTGTGTGCCTTGGGCACATTAACCTCTCTGCTTGCCACACCCCTCCCCTGCAAAATGTCATCAGTGGTCTTTGAGGATTAAATGATTTACTACATATCAAACACTGGCTCAGCGCATGGTGGGCACAGGGAAAGAATCAGGACCCCAGCCAGCTGGTAGCAGTAAAGAGGGATTCTGGGTGGGGATCAAGGCAGCGGTGAAAGGCAGGTAACTGGTTCCTGCCAGGCCCACGTGCCAGGCCTGTACATCGGAGGGCCTCTGGGAATTAGGCATCCTGCAGTAATCATAAACTGATAAAGTACTGGCAATGCCGGAAGCTACTATTTATTGAGCACCTACTATTTATTGCCAGGCTCTGTGCTAGGCACTTTGATCTTGAGACCAGTTCAGACCTCGGCTTAGAACTTGAAAGACCCTAAAAGCTATGAAATTCACCTCCCATCTTCAGAGAAGCACCTCTGGGGAGAGGAACAAAGGTTCTTTAGAGAGTGGGAACATCCCTTCCAGTAGCAGCTGCTCTGAGACGTTCCTCAGCCCAAAAAAAGACACCGAACATTTGCTGGGCCTCTGCGATGCTCTGGGCCCCAGAGGCACTTGGCATCATGCACTGTCACACTAAATCGTCACCCCAATTTTATGAGGCAGCAACTATTACCCAAACCCTGAGTTTGAGACACCAACGCTCAAAAGGATTCGGTGACTTGCCCAAGGTCACCCAATGGCAAGTGGCAGATCCAGGACAAGAACACAGATTGGACTTCCATGTCCACGCCCCGTTTAATATCCCAAATGTCTCAGAGCATTAGACACGGTTCCTTGCTCACTGTATAAATGAATAGATACCCAGCGGCCACAGAGAACTGCTTCACACCCACCCAGAGCTGAAACTTGTGTTTTACTTGGCAACTAGCAAATGAATCTCAAAGGAAGCTAGAAATCCTGGACAGAAGTAAATATTTAACATAAGGAAGAAGCGAAACGCCTAGCAGCAGAGAGGGGCATGACCCTGAGTCTCACTGGGACAGGATGGTGTCTACTTCACCCCACTGGTCCCAACGGCCCTGTGAGGCTGGTCTTTTGTTAGACCCATTATACAGGTGAAAGGATGGAGGTTTGGATGGTTAGATATGTTTCTCCAGCTCCGAAGTGGCAGGGCTAGGATCTGAACCCGCTTGTCTCGTCCGGAGCCCCTGCTTCCTGCTCAGCTCACCCTGCTGCTTCCTCTGTTTGTGCCCCACTGAGAAGCACAGACGTCGTCTCCAACGGGGTGATGCCCTTGCTTGGGAGAAAGAGCAGCTGAGCACTTCTCTTATGCCTCCCTTAGTCACATAAGGACATGGGGGTGGGGGTGCCTCCAGGGGCCCCAGATGGTCCCAGGAAGAGGCATGCAGACCACCACCCCATCTCCCAGCCTGGAAAATTTTCTAAAACAGAACAACAGGCCTCAGCAGGGGCGCTGGAGCCCCGGCAGGAAATGGGTGAAGACTGGCACATTCAACTCTCCCTGAACGTTTCTCCTTCTTCATTGGCTTCCCGGCTTTCTCAGCTGCATACGCCAACTCGTTTGGAAGCCTGACGCGCCCGTCTGCTTCCATCCCACCCTTGGCTGCGTTCAGAGTGGGGTTCTGGAGTCTGCCCCGCACGTCAGCACCCTCTAGGTTTAGGGGGTGTGCAGGGAGACAGCATGGGAAATGAGGACCTCACGGAGCACATCTCAGCCCAACGCTGCTAGGACACCCCATCTCTCCATCCCTGTCCCCCAACCCAGGGCTCCCCTGCTCTGACCAGGCCCTCATCTGGTCCTGACCCAAGTTTCCGCCTCCTGCAAGTGATCAGTTCTTGAAGACTGAGCCAAAGAGTCCCTTGAATTCCCCTGAGCACACGAGCAAAGTGTTGGGCCAGCACCCCCCACCTCGCACTGTGGGCCTCATGGGTGGGGTCACTCTTTGTATCGAGGGACGGCCCTGCATGCTCTGGGGTGATGAGCATCCCACACCTCCATGCACCAGATGCCAGCAGTCTCCCCCTGCCTCTCGCTGTGACAACCAAAGACACTGCCAAATGTCCCTGGGGGACAAAACCACCATCAGTTGAGGCAGACTGAGCCAATGGGCACTGTACGTGGCCTGCGGTCCAGGACAGGTGAAGGAGAGCTGTCACATCCTGGGGGGCCACAGCAAGGCTCCCACACTCGCCCCCTGCTGCTGTGGAGGCCAGGAGCACACCTCCAAGCAGGCGGCGTGGGGCTCTGCCTTCCCGCCCCCACCCGCAGGCGCCCTTACCCAGCCGGATGTCTCCCTCGAGGGTCATCAGCACATTGCCGGCCTTCAGGTCCCGGTGGATGATCCTCTTGCTGTGCAGAAAGTCGAGGGCTTCCAGCATCTGGCGGCAAACGACCTGAATCTGGGGCTCGGTGAGGCCTCTGTCCAGCTCTGGAAACCGAGGGAACTTGTCAATTCAGCAAGTGCTCACTGTAGGCAGCTCACTGTCAGGCCCACACACACCAGGTACGAGAAATACAACAGCCACCAGCATTAGCGAGCGTGTACCACGTTCACGTGTAAGTACCTCCCTTGTTACCTATTTCGTCCTCACAGTAACCCTATCGAGCAGGCACAATTATTATCCCACTTTACAGATTAGAAAACCGAGGCTCAGACAGGCCAGGTCACTTGCTCAAGGTCACCCAGGTAGGAAGTCACAGATCTGAGATTCAAACCAGCCAGTCTGGCTTCAGACCTCAGGTTCATAAACACATCCCTTCTGAGAGGGAGAGATGGTTCTGTGAGCAAGACTGAGTGACTCTTTCTCCATGTCAGGCTCGGTGTCCATCAGTACAGTGACACAGAGAGAGGGACACGGCAACAGTGAGCAATGCTTGGAACAGAAGGGGGCACAAGTGTGTGGAAGAACAGGATGGGCAGCAACCCCTCCGCCTGAGGAACTGGGGGGCCCCCAGAGGAGAGGAACTGGGGGGCTCCCCAGAGGAGAGGACTGCATCTTGAGAGGAAGAGAGAAAAGGCGGGGCCAGGGCATTCCAGGTCCAGGAACCAGCAGAGGCGAAGGCCTGGAGCCTGACGTGAGCTGGTGTTGAAGAAATGTCAATTGGCCGACAGTGGTGGCACTGGAAATGTGGACGGTGAAACCAAGTTCTTGTGACTTAAAAAACAAACAAACTCCTAGATCAAGCTGTGCCTGAAGCCAGGCCCTTGAACTTTTCTCAGCTATTTGTGCAAATAAATTCCCCCCCACACATCCCCTAACTTTTCTTCTCCCTAACCTAGTTCGAATCGTCTTTGGTTCTTTATAACCTAGAGAGTCTCAACTCATACAAGACCACCATTTTTATTTTCTTGGCTTGTACCCTGAACAATGAAAATCTTCAAAAGCAGTCTCTGCTGAGAGAAGGCACACCCAGGGGCCATATCACAAATGCCGGTACACCTGGGAACTCTGGGCGTGGCAAGGGGCTCTCTGCAAGGAAGACCAGCATTTCTACAAGTCAGGATGGGGAAGGGCTGCCATAAAATTTGAGGTATTCCTGAGATAAACGTGGGGAAGATACCTTCTTCACAATAAAAAAGTGTCTGGACGGTGCTACATGGTAACGGTACTGAGGGCACCTTTCCTCTCCTGAGCCACCGGAGTCCTGGACGTGTCCCTCAACACTGGAGCCCCAGCCCTCGGCCTCTCCTCACTCACTGCCCACCAGGCTGGCAAGAGCAGGGGAGGCTGAGGGGCGGGCAGCAGTTAGGAGCAGAGCCACCCAGACCTGGGTTCGCATTTCAGCTCCGCTGTGTGACTCTGGGCCAGCCCTATCACCTCTCTAAATGTCAGCTGGTCGAGAATAAGACGGATTCTCCTTTGGATTTTATACATGAGAATCCACGTGAAAGCAGCTGCCACAATCTCTGGCATACAGTGACTACTCACAAACCAGCGGTGGTTACTGATATATTTTTTTGTCATTGCTCAAGCTTGCCTGGGACATCAAGACCTGACAACATCCCCACTGAACTCTGAGAAAATGAGTGGGGATCCCCACTTTTCAGAGACCTTCCCTCAGGGGTCTCCTTTTCACCTCCTAAGAGAGCTGTGGGGTCAGGAAAAGGAGCCGTCACATTAGTCTTGTGGCCAAAGAAGGCTTGCGAGGGGGCGAGTGACCAGCTCAAGGACACGTGGCTTTTCTAACAGGAAGTGTTCCTTGTCTTCCCACGGGTGTCCCGGGTTCTCTCCAAGAACCCAACCCCTGCTCCTGAAAGGGAACAAAGCGGGGAGGAGCTCAAACAGGTCAGGGGAACCCCTGGGGTTGGGGAGCGAGGGACACCCACCCTAGACAGAGCCGACCCTGGCACCGCTGCACTGGATCAAGGGGGACTCACCCAGCATGATGGCGTCCACAGCTCCGCCAGGACAGAACTCGATCATGATCTGCAGGAAACACCAGGAGAAGCAGCGATGAGCAGGGCCGCACAGGCCACGACATGGGGAGACCCCCGGGGCCCAGTCCCAGCCCAGGCGGCACCAGCCAGTGCCCGGTGCCCTCGCTCGCCAGCCTCTCCTCCTCCGGCCACCCCAGGGCCTGCCCCGTCTGCACCACCCCCCTACTCTGGCCCCAACCCTCACAGAAGGCTCTAACACCCAGTGGAGTTGCTGGGCACTTCATTTCGCAGAAAAAGAAAAAACATGCTGCCATGGAAACCTGCAGGTTCAGCCTTTTCAGCCAAGCCGCACCCTCCCTTTCCCCACCTGCCAGCTGCCCCACTTCCTGCACTCCACAGCAGGGGTCTCAGAGGACACCTTCGGCCCACACACAAGCCGGCCAAGTCCCCCTGGAATCCCAGCACCTGTCTCTTGCCTCTTTCCATCATTCAGACAGAGCCCAGGGCTCCGGCTGCCTCCAGACATCGGGGCTTTGAAGACCAGCTCAGGTGGCGACGCCGAGGCCCAGCGAGGGGCGGTGACTGACCAAGGACACACAGATGGTTTAGTGGCAGGCCTCTGACTAGAAAGCAGGTTTTCTAGTCCCCAGGTTATTCAGGCATTCATTCATTCATTCACTTATTCCCTCATTCATTCAACATTCGCCTACCACACACCCCACTGGTAGCAGGCTCTGGGCCGACCAGCAGGCCCAGGCCCTGAAGGGCTCCCAGCCCAGTGCAGGGGATGGAAAACGAGTAAAAAGCGTGGTGGGTACTGACACAGGCCTTCTCCCTCTGGTTTACTCCCATCTTCACTCTCGCCCCCTCTGGGCTCCTATCACATGTGCAAAGGTACTTTTTCTTTTTCCTTAAGTATGGATTCAGGTGGGTGGGAAAGGTGGAGAGTGACATAGATTTCAAGCCAGTCTTGAGCATCCTGCTGCTGAGAACTCCGTGCAACCAAGAGGCAGACACACTGCCCGTGGAACAGTAAGAAGGGCACAGACATCTCCCATTTCCTAACGGGGTGCCGATGAAAAGTCAAAGGTGGTAGACTCGGGTGTGACTCCTGGTAGTACCACTCCATCGGCTGTTACCTTGAGTAAGCCATTCAATCTCCCCAAGCCTCAATTTCCCCATCTGTAACATGGCACTCACTGCCTCTACCTCCCAAGTCCTCCAGGCAGTTATGAGAAAGCCACACCAGTTAATATGCGCTTGTTGAATCTCTAACAAATGAAATCACCAGAAAGCGTCATACCACGCTAAGAACACGTCGCTTAGGCTTCTTACAAAAATATGCCTTCCCAGAAGTACAGTTTATCAACACACCGGCAGCTATTATCAAGAGTCAGTAGAAGGGCCGGCCAAGTGGCGTGTTGGTTAAGAGCTGGCTTGGGACGCCAGAGGGCCCCGGTTCGGATCCCACATATGAGGGCCAGTGACACTGCCCTCTACAGCTAAGATGCTGAACAACAGCTCAACCTGGAGCTGGGCTGCCGTGAATCGCCGGCAACGGCGTAGGCTGCAGCCCCTGCTGCAGTGGGGTGCCATGGGCTACCGTGTGTAGCCAGCAGCCAGCATGAGCGGCCCTCAAGCCGCCGAGAGCGGCCGTCCAGAAGCCAGTGACTGATCTGCCTCGCCCGGGAAGAGTGCAGTGATGGTGCCAACTTGGGCCAGTGAAGCAACGTCCTCCACAACTAGACTGAAGAACAAAAACACAGCAACTTGTCTGTTCCCCTTCCCCCAATTCCCCAGCGCTGTTCCCATCCCAATTCCCCAATTAAAACAAAAAAAAGAGTCAGTAGGAGTGGCCAAACCCAGCGGTTTCTGCACCGTTCAGTGGAACTGTCCCTTACACAACACCCTTCCCCAAGGTCCTCATGACCCCTCCTCTCTGGAGTTCAGCACTAGGAAAGCTCCAGCGTTCCGCTAATCTGCTTTGCTTCCTCTTCTGCAATTCACAAGCTCCCATGACCCCTTGTGCTTCCCTTTTATTTTATTTTGCCTTGGCTGCTGGGAAGCCCCAAGCTTAGCTTTGGTTTTATCCCCATGAATAAAATGTAGGAAGTTTTGGTTCTGTGCCAGGATTAAACCCACACTATTTCACAATTTGTATATGGATCTCGACGAAGCGCCTTTAGGAAATCGCTGCCTGGCGCCCACACCTCAGACATCTGAAGCTTTTTTTAACACAGCAGTCCTCAGCATGAACCCAAGCATGTGTCAGAGAGATGGTCCGTCCGCCTCTATGTAAATATTGCCCACCTGTACTGTCACACGTGGCAAAATGTTTGGTTTTTTCTTCTTTTTTTTTGAAGGTGGGTTCTTTCATCCTTTTGGTTTTGAAAGTTTCACATCTTAGTGCCTTTTGGGTGATGCAAAAAAAAATGTCTCTCATGACATGGTTCTTACGGGGTCCCATTACATGGGTCTTAACACTTACCATTCAGCTTGTCAGTGGTAGGGCTACAGGGGATGTTTACAGACACGCAGGGGAGTTAACAAGACAATCATTTCAATAAATAAAATAATAACAATAAATAAAAATAAAACAATCAGGGGCCGGTCGAGTGGCTCAGCTGGTTAAAAGCGCCAGCTCTGAGCAACAGGGTCGCCGGTTCGATTCCCACATGGGCCAATGACACTGCACCTGAGCTGAGCTGCCGCTGAGCTGCCAACAGGAGGCAGGATGGCTCAGCTGGTGAGAGCATGTGCTCCTAACAACAAGTTGCCGGTTCGACTCCTACATGGGATGGAGGGCTACACCTCCCTGCAACTAAGATTGAACATGGCACCTTGAGATGAGTGGCCGCGAGCTGCCGACGGGCGGCTGGATGGTGACTGGACTTGGAGCTGAGCTAGCTGCGCCCTCCACAACTAAGATTAAAGGGCAACAACTTGTCTGTTCCCCTTCCCCAATTCCCCAACACTGTTCCCCTCCCCCAATTCCCCAATAAAATCTTTAAAATAAATAAATAAAATAAAACAATCACCTCAATGCCTTGGGAAGTTACTAAATATGCACACTTAGAAAAGAGAATGGAAGCACATGCTTCGATACCCAGGGAAGGGTTACAGTAGTCTATATTTGTATGTGTTTTCCACGTTTATGCATTACAAAATTTCGTGTTAGAAATAAGGTTTTTAATGGAAAGAACTGGCCTAAAATAACCCCTGGCTACAGATGCATCTATTTGTCTGAGGGGGATGGGGTGTCTGCACCCGTCCATGATAAAAGCCCCAGCAGGCCTATGCCCACAGTGTCCTTGGATGGAAGGATGCTCCTTGGGATGAAGGGTTCCTGAGTGCCACGCTCAAGGCCTCTAAGCCCTCATCAAGCCCCAACCCAACAGCTCTCAGTACCAAGGACCCACTCCTTAAACCCATTAGAGGCTCATCCTTCAAGCTCCCTCGAGAGAGCGGCTTGTAGCTCAGGGTTTCCTCAGAGCCTGGAGAAGTGAGGTTTGTGATCAGTTTAATCCATCGACCATGACCAACTGAGGGGCTACCAGGGGCCCCATATTGCTAGGGTGAGCGGGGGCCATTAAAGTAGTATTCAGTCAACAAACACTGTCTGGGCTCGTAGTCTGTGACAAGCCTGGGGACTGGACACCCAGGACGAATCAGACAGGTCCCTACCCCAAGACAGAGGCAGACACATTGTGACTTGGTCACCCAGAAGCCCGTGGCCACATTGGTTAACCGGGCCTGGAGCTATCCTGGAGGGCTTCCCAGGGGACGAGACATTTGGGCTGGGTTTCTGAAGGGCAAATTTACCAAGTAAAGAAAGACAAAAGACATTCCAGGCAGAATACAGCAAGTGCAGAGACAGGGCTGCACGGAAGAGTGTGGAAGGGGGAAGGGTGGAGTGTTCCATGGGGTTAAAAGGATGGGAGGAGAGCAGGCCGCAAAGGTCAACTAGAATATGAGCATCTCAAAGCATGAACTTCATCCTGAGAGCTGTGTGTATGTGTCTGGGGAGAGGCACCGAGGGGCTTTAACAAGGCGTGTCGTAGACAGGCTTCTGTTTTGCGGGGGATCCTCCTGGATGTGTTGTCTCTGGAGGCTGAGAAAGCAGAGGGAATAGTGGATTGGGGGCAAACAGCAAAAACGCTGTTTCATCCTGGTGCCCTGAGCATCACGGCTGCCTTCCCCATGCGCACACAGCATTTCTTCCTTTCCCTTTTTGAAACAGCCAGAAAAGTTGGACGGGACTCATTTCATCCCCTGCGGGAAGTGGGGGCCTACACCTATCAGGGAAATTCTCTGCCACTTGCCCTGATGTCTCTGGTTCAGGGCCGGTCTCATCAGAGGTACGCTGGTTAGTTCTGCTTGATGTTGTAGGATGCCATGACGCCTCCCTCTGGAGCCTGTTAGGAAGCACACAGCCCTGATGGGCGCAGGCAGGCAACTTGCAACCATGAGGGGAGCCAGTGTGAAGACAAAACCGATACAAAAAGGAGGGCAGAGAAAAATCACAGCATGACGAAGCCCTGCTCCAACGCCCCCTCAAACCTGACCTCCCTCTGGACTTTTCAAATAGAACATGCAAGCCAACTAATTTCTTCTGTTGTTCAGGTTAGAGTTGAGATTTTCTGTCACTTGTTACTAAAAGCATCTGATCTCACATTTGGCGAGAGATGATGAGGCTGAATTGGGGCAATGAGACAGGAGGACAAGGATGCTATCCCACCGGGCAAATATTTTCCTAGAAATCTCTAGGTGGGACCAGCTAAAAACACTACACTGGTGGTTCTCAAACTTGAGCGTGCATCAGACTCACCAGGAGAGCTCACTAAAATAAGGCACAGAGGGGGGCCTCACCCCAGAGTTTCTGGCTCAGGTCTGGGGGAGAGTGCAAGGCTCTTCATTTCTAACAAATGCTCCGGGGCTACTGCTGGTCCCCGGACCATGCTCTGAGAACCACTGCTCGAGAGGAATTCGCAAAAGAGCAAGAGGCTTAGACCCTGGGGCCACGTTCCTCCTCCCCCAACAAAAATGTAA